AGGTTTGTTAATTTATCTCACACAAACAGCATGAGAGCTCGTTAGTATACACATGCACTGAACTGCACGAAGCGTGTTGTTATTTCTAAACGACTGGTGACTGGTGCCATTATGCACCACATTACCCATGATTCCTGAACTACAAGTCCCATAGGGGGAGTGGTGAAAGCTGTGGAAGGAACATGGGTAAATGGTGCGTCTTGCTGAGCTGATTCAAAGTTTTTGCGGTTAACATTGCATTACATTGCATTTATAGGTGCAGTGCTAGTATGGAAGGCTCAATATTTATTATAAATGCTTTAAAAATAGTAAAATATGGCCCCCTTTAAGTATAATATCAAAATGTTTATTTTTAGTTTTTGCGTGGATGCAGTTTTTTTGAGGCATATTTGGCTTGATTCTCTGAGGTCCTTTAACTAAATATTGCCATACACAGGCAGTTAAGATTTCTCAAATATCTTTTGTTCTCAGTGAAATCAGCTTGTATTTTTTACTTAAAGGCAAGGTAGGTGATTAAGAAAAGAGTCGGCCCAACCTTCAAAAGGGACTTTTACATATTGAAGGGGCGTATATTTATGGAGTCATAGACGTTCATGTGTGGAGTAGTACTTTTGTTGTAGGGCTGAATTTAATAGTAACCATTGGCTCGCAGAAATCATCCACCCTGCCTTTAATCAAGATTTCATGCTTACATGCTTGCCTCACTAATCTCAAATACACAAACGCTTCCAACCTTTGCTGTTTCTTCCTCTGGTTCTGTCTCTACCGCCAGTCTCTTCCTCCTCTGGCTCGGATTCAAGCCCTCCGCAGGGGGAATGCGCGCCTCCTTGTGGAGAACAAAGCCATGCTGCGCACCCTCGCTCAACTCAGCCCGAAAGCAACTCTTCCAGAATCTGAGGATCTCTAGATACTCTCTCTTCCTTCTCATCCTTCTACTCCCTCTGCTCTTCTCAGCCAGGTCTCCCTCGTTGCTTCTTTTCTGTTGCATTTTTGCTTGGTTTGGGGAAAGCTGAAGCTTCACATTCCTAGCACAGGCTTTGGAGATATTTATATGTCATGTGTAATAGCTCTATGCACTCTCCAGCAATGTCCATGTCAAATCACAGCCTGAAAAATCTCATTTTCAGAAGTTCTGTCAGCACTTTGGTGTCACATACTCAATGGTTAGAAACGAAAATGTCCAGCTTTATTTATTTATTTTTTTAAACAATTTAGATTTTTTTTATTTTACAAATGAACACAACATGCACTAAAATTATAGTTTTAGATTTATTTATTTTGTTGGGTGTTTCTTTAAAAAGGTCGTTGGAAGCCTTTTAATGGGTTTTTGTGATGTACAGATTCAACACAATACCTGCTGGTCGTCATGTTTGTGTTTTTTACTAGATAGCGATAATAATGTTTTTACCTCTTAGAAATCCAGGCCTTTTTAGCGTTTTTACTACTTTACATTTTGAACGTTTCTTTTTTACTACACAATAATCCTAATATTTGTACAAAAAATACAATTCAGAGTAGGGATGTCCAGAGCCGATCGTAAAGATCGGTATCGGGGCCGATCGAGGCATTTTTTAACTGATCGGAATCGGCTCTATGTATCGGACCGATCGAATGTTTACGTCAGCTACGTCACGCACGTGTCGCAAACTCGCATGTTAAACTCGCATGTTGTTTACTACTTGCAATACGGTGCTAAGATGTCTGCAGTGTGGAAGTATTTTAAGTTGGAAAGTGATTCTAGTCTGGTAGCTACATGCAACGTTTGCAATGCGAGCATTTCACGCGGTGGTACTAGCAAAGCAGCCTTTAATACTACCAACTTGATAAGGCATCTTAAAACGAAACACGACAGAATATTGCGACTTCACTGAGCGAACACAGGAAATGGCTAAACCATTTTATTGATGCACTGCTGAGCTATTTGGTTGTCAAGAGTACACACTGGATTGATTTAATAACCTGCATGCACTTAAAGTGTGCAATTAGCACAAGGAAAAGACAAGTATCGGATCGGGACTCGGTATGGGTCGATACTTAAAATTAAATGACTCGGATCGGATCGGGGGCTCAAAAAACCTGATCGGGACATCCCTAATTCAGAGTATTGCATATTGTCATTTATCATAGCACAATGGCAGTAGGTGGTGTCACATTGTCCATATTTCTTTACAGTCTATGATTTCAACGACAATACTCCAGACAGGTAGGTGACAGTAGGCTGTCATTGTACCTGTTATGTTAATGACTGAATTTAAAAAAATGACATCCAAAATAGGGAATTAAGCCTGGAATTAAGCAAATTGGGAGGTTTTCCACTCAAATTCAACCATTCAAACACATTTTAAGCCAATTTTTAGTGTATGGTTTTATGAAATTGTGTGAGGCAATGACCTACTTCTGGAAGAGATAAGGCACAGATGGACATCTGGATAGATTCCTGCTTTGCTTCGGTGATTGTGTAAATCAGAGCAAGTTGTCCATCTGCTTTGATTCTGATTGAGGCGCATGAATTTTGTTTGATGAAATGGTTTAATGTGAATCATATTTTTGGCCAGGGACATACATCTTAGCAAAACAACCCACACACTGAGAACTGTTCATATCACAAGGTTTGTTTACAGTTCATATCACAAGGTTTGTTTACAAAGTGCCTGAATACTTTGTAATTTAGGCAAAATAATTTTTGCACAGTTTTGGGAGAACCGTGAAATGCTATAATTTGTACTCGATAGACTTACTCTGTGAGTCCAGAATTACTCTGTGCCGTAATGTTTATTATCCTTTAGGAGATGCATATTAAACAAAAAAATTAAATATAGACAGTAGCCATGTTTCCATCGTCCCCATTTTGAATTTCAGTTAAATACATCATATGGGAGGCAAACACTGTGACATTTCATTGATTTCAAAACCTTTAGCACTAATTACTAAACTCAAACATGGATTGGTTTAGGGAAAGGCTACAGAAAGATGTCTCAGAGATTTAAGCTCTCAGTTTCAACTGGGAGAAATGTTGTGAGGAATTGGAAGACCAGAAACACACTTCTAGTTTCCTTCAAGATGAAAACTTATCTTCAGTGTAATGAGTTGCATATGAAAATGAATCTGTATTTTGATTTAATTTAGCAGAAAATCTTTTTTTTTAACGGGCTATAAACAAATTGCACCAATATAGTCAAAAATTAACAAAATACAACAATAAATAAGTAAAATTCATTTATACTTCTCAATTTCTGTCAAAAAAAGACTTTGAATCAAACCCAAAATTAAAGCTTACTTTGGCACTGACTCAATTTGAAACCAAACGCTTTTATGTTTTTAAGTGCAATGAAGTGATTTCTTCTTTTCTTCTTTTCCCAGGTTTTGACTGAACTGAAGTCTGATAATCAGCGGCTGAAAGATGAGAATGGAGCCTTAATCCGAGTCATTAGCAAACTTTCCAAGTAAAGTCAGCTTATTGTCTATTCTTGAGGAATTCAACAATAACAGCAACAACAACGAGACGTTTGTAGCTTTCACTGATTGGCTGTTGTGGATTTCAAACTGTTTATTTACCATGAAATATCCATCGCTGCTTATTGTTACTCTTTTTCTGTACACCTGTGTATCTTCTTACTTCTCTAAGTTATTGACCTCAATTTGGTGAGCTAGCAATGTCATTTAAAGCAGAGTTTCTTAACCTTTTTGATACTGGGACCCAATTTTCCCCGTACAACGTGATTCAAGGCCCATTAAAATAACGTCTTAATGTGAATTGATCCACATGTTGTTTGATGTGTTAAATAATTAAATCGTAGCTTGCTGTAGTTGTGCGTGTGCTGTGATGGACTGTCATTAAAACTTTGCGTGAACTTCCAGAGCTCTCTGATCATCTTCATGATTTTAAAGTTATAAATAGTAGTTTACTATAAATAATAATTTAAAAGAATTAAATTATTTATTCTTTTAATAATAAAAGAATAAAAAAAGTATCTTGCTCGGAAGAAATAAATAAATAAATGTTTACTTGATATCTGTACTATCACAAAAAGTGCTTTAATATGTTTAAGGTAAATAAAATATAATTTCATTGCTACAAACTTAATGTTTATTCCAAACATTTGTACATTTATTTTACTGGTATTGTACTGTAAATACACCTACAATAAAGTGTTCTGCTATGTGTGATTGGACTGGTGTTGTGTAATGAGAAAGAATCTTTGAGACATGGGTTTTATTCTGAGGTTTCATGAATCCTGAAATGAAATGAAACAAGAACATTTCATGAATCATGGAAATCACGAGAGTTCGAAACCAGGCTTCAATGAAACCGTCGGCTGGGCTCTAGAGAAACCCTTTAATATATTTGTCCAGTGCTTCCATTGGATACTACCGGTGTTATGGCAATATCTGCTGGAGCTAGAGTTTGTTCAAGTGCCCGACGCTTTCACCATTGAACACAGATAAATGTAACCTTGTGAATTCAAAGCTTATCACAACAACATGTATACTACACACAGAGAAGATTTGATGTATTTCCGCCCTAGTCATTTATGTACTTTTCTCAAACTTTAAGGCTAATTTATTCTCACTAATCATTTAAAATGTAATGGTTCACAAAATGCTAAAGTGGTCAAATGCACATTAATTTGCTTTTCTTGGTAAAGTGAGCCGTTGTTGTGGTCAGTGGTGCACAAATAATTCAATTTTACAGTAATCCTTGCAAAATAATTGTGAATTATGTTGTTTTTACTACACAATTATGTAGTTTTTATAACTTATGTCATTAAATTAATAATTCAGTGGAAGAAAATGAATGTATTTGTGTGGTAGCAATGAGTCACCATAGTTTCTCAGTTCTGAAAAAGATCCCCCAAAAGATCACAGCAGGATCTTTTGGGGGATAAATATGAATATTATTTTAGAAAGTACTTTTGAGAGTATTAGTTTTATCTAGTTGAATGTATAGTTGCTTTAGAACAAGGAAATTTTTTTTAATATATATTCCCCTACTGGAGATACGCTCTGACCGGGATTCGAATCCCGGTCTCCCGTGTGAAGGTCGGCAGTGTTACCACTACACTATACTTAACATTGAGAAAGGTAGTTTAAAATTTTCCATCTAAAAATTATAAAACACATTTATAGTGGTAATATGTGTATAGTACTGGGACGGTAAAGTGGATGTGTAGGATAGTATAGTGGTAACACTGCCGTCCTTCACATGGGAGACTGGGGGTCTAGTCTGATCTTCAGAAGCTCTGCCAGAATATTGGGGAAAGAATGTTCCCAGTGAGGAGTCACAACACTCTCCTTTAACTTGCTTCACACGTCACAGTTGTCCTATTTACACTACACTTGCTGTTATTTGAAGGGCTGAAATTTAGACACCACTGTTGAATGTGTTTAATATTTATTTGTGTCTTTTTGTGTGAAATTAAGAGTGTATTTATGGTTAAAACAAACACCCTTTTAAATGAAGATCGTTTTTACCAATGCGAACAGCATTTTGTTTGTTTTTGTATACTTTGATTATTAAAAATGCACTGTAACTTACATAAATTGTAGTTGTCTTTTTGTAGTCCCAGCTCCATCATACGTTTATCAGGCATGATGATTCCAGTTGTAGTGTAATACCAGGTAAGCCTTCACAGATTCAGCAAGGCATTTTAAGTCTGTTTATGCCAAAATTTTACACTTTTATTTTAATACAAAACCCACAGATCATAAGAGCAATTGCAATGAATGGGTACCATTTCTATCCCCAGGACTTTATATGTATAAATAAGCATTAAAATAGCTTTAAATGCATTTTATTTCTAAGGAAAGTGTACTACATCCTGTTCTTATTGCAAATCGAAGCTATAACATTTAAAATATTGATAAAACACACTTTTTCAGCAGGTAGTTGCATCACTTGGATCTTTAAAAGTCGCTGTGAAGAGCAAAGGTAAGTTCTCCCAATTTCATGTTTACATATTTGATGACTTTGTGGTGTCACGCAAATTATTCCAGGATATTAAATTAGTTTAGCATAAAAATGCACATATTTGGTAAATAACAGAAATTGCAAGTGGAATTTGCTAACTCTTTGCTAAAAACTCAGTCCTGTTACTTGTAAAAGAATAACAAAAGGGTTAGTAATATGCAACATTTTTAAAATAAGTTAATTAAGATGGACCAATGCCCATTTGTAATACTTAATCTGTTTTGAAATCAAGTAAAAAATGATATTTAGAAAAGTTACCGTATGGTCAACGGCACTTATTTGGTGGAATGGCTCATAATGCAAATCAATGCTGCAAACTGACAGTGGATCAAGAAAAAACAACAACATAATTTTCTTGAAATATACCATCACGACCAGACTGAAGAAGTGTAGCAATTAAAAGGCCTTTATTTTTCTCAGTCATTTCGGTACAGAGCTGGTAACACATGGTAAATCTGAAGAGCTATTTGGTTCCCTTGACATCTTTTCAAGGTTTGCTGTTGCTCATGTACCATCCACTAGGGGATTGTGGGAAGAGTCTGTGAGCAGTGTTTTCTCAAAGTGTCCCATCAAGGGCTAAAGCATGCGATTGATCCTCACTAGGCACGAAAATACAGACATGAACACACACGCAGTCACAAGAGAACATCGAAACATGTACAAACACAGCCTGAGGGCAAAATCCTCGCAGTCTCCCATCAAATTAAATAAAGTGTAACCGAACATCACAAATAGAAAAGAGAGTAGTTTACCACTTCAGGTAATCAGAATGAGAAAAAGTGCTAGAGAAAAGACGAAATGACATGATTTCGGTTCGGTTTTCCCAGATTTTTGCTAAGCTCATCATCTCAAAGCTCGTATGAAAATAAAAATAGAGCATTGCTAAGATGATCCAAATGGATATCAAGCATCTACTTAATCTTATTGACATGAAAACATGAGATTGTTTTCAACTCTACAATGGAAATTTAAGTAACAATCACATTTCACAAACTGGAATGTTTCAAACAAATGCTCATTGTGCACGCTGTTGTATAGCAGATGGCAGTGCTTGAGTAACTCACAACGAATGATTCTTTTATTAAAGGGCCTATGCATTATTGTTTAGTCAGACTCACACTCAGAAATCAAGCGATCAAAGGTTATTAGAAAAGTAATATGATGGAAAACATGTCAAATATGGTTCTAAAATGAAAGCATAGATGTACTGTACACAGATGCCTCAGTATAAATGTCAGCCATTTTGTTTGACATTGTTTTAACTTTAACAAGATTGATTCATTAAAAATTCATGTACATTTGTGTGATTGATTGATGAGTTGTGTTGAGTGAACGTTTAATGTGCTTGTTTAGCGAACATAACCCTAACCCTAACATCAACCCTAAAAATAACCATAACCCTAAACCCTAACCTTCATGTTTGATGTTTTGTTCAAAAGTTAACAGGATTCATTAATTTAAAATGAACCATGATTTTAAAACAAAGTTTGTTTAGGTATGGAGTTGTGTGAACACATCATGTGCATGTTTAGCTAGCAGCTAAGCTAACCCAGATTCAATGGGAATTTACATTTGTGGTCTGTGTAAAATTATTATTTTGTTCAATCTTAAAAGGATTTATTAATTTAAAAAGAGCAATGACTTGATTATACAATTGTGAAGTGTGTTGAAATAAACAATTGTGTTAATGTAAATGTGCATGTCTAGGTAGCACTTTAAGCTTACGTAGGTTGAATGGGCTATTTTATTTTTTTATTATTATAAAATGGACCTAATAAATGTCAGCCATTTTTAAATGTTTTAGGTTTTATTCCGATTAACATAATTAATTTATTTATGAACGTTTGCTTATGTTTGGAATTTTGTGAATGCGTAATGTGCATGTTTAGCTAGCATGCTAAGCTAACAAAGATTGAATTGGATATTTCAATTGTGGACTGAGTAAAATAAACCCCGATTAAACGAATTTGATCATTTAATACTGGTATCTTACACCTAAATGTTATGGACTGGTGTAAAACCATGGAATTGGTTTGTTTTTGTTTGGAGGTTAATGGCAATTCCAAGATGGCGGACCCAGCTTAATCAACTGATTGAAGCATCTGTGTATTTGTAAGTAAAACTTGACTTTATTCCATTTTCATGACGAATCAAATGTTTCATACTGTGCTTCACATAAAAAAATAACCCGTGTACATAGTAAAACATGTATAAACACAATCATGCAGAACACATTTGTTAAAACCAGTGTGTTTACAAAAAAAGAACAAGTCTGAAATCTTTACAATAAAAACATCTATACAAATGAAAAGATAACAAATAACTTTAGTTGTAATGCTCAACGTGTTAGGATGTAGCTTTAGAGACTATATGGAATGTTAACGAAACACGTGAGTTTAATAATAAGTAGACATTTTAGGATCAATTATAGTTGAGCTCTCTATGAAGCTCAAGACTTATGGCTTTATCTTATTCACACTCATACTCTCTCTCACACACACTTATTGTTTATTATGCTGTTACATAAAGTCATAAATAAAAGCATTTCAGAAAACAATGGGGATTCCAAGTTTTCCGTGACTGTTTGATGCTGTTCTATTGTGCTGTGGCAACTTTGTTACCAAGTTTAGAATCAGTTGTTCTGAAAAAATCACGTAAGAATGACATAAAGTCAGATAATGGCAGTAAACGTGACTTGTCTCATTGGCACTAACAGTGGAAAACTGAATAAATAAATAAATAAATAAATAAACAGCATATTTTTCAGTGTGATTCAAATCGAAGTACCTCTCCTGATTGCTGCACCCTACTGATGGGGGAAATTATTCACTTGAATCCCCCGCTGGAAGTTTTAACTTCCCATAAATATATTAAGAGAAAAGAGATACAAACATCACTCTGAAAAATAAAGAGAAATAAATAACTTTGATTCCATAAATAAATACATAAACACTTTGTTCCTTATCAATAATAGTAGACGGCAAGCATGCGGCTACGTTTTCTTCATTCTACGTTAGTTCACACAAAGCACTTAACATATAGTATTTGCTCAAGATGTCCAGGCATGGGTCGAATCTGAAATTGAAGATTAGTCTCATATTCTTCATATTCGCTCCAGTACCAACTCAACGAAAAATAAATACATATTTGATTTGATTAGAAAATATACACAGCGTTTATCCCCCTTCTTTCTGTTATTAAAATGACAAAGAACACCTACTTAGGTACACAATATATCTTTTGCTTCACCTCTGAAACATGCACATCTTTTTGTATTGTAACATGCAGTATTATAAAGTAGGAACTATGCATATATAGGTCAAACTACACGCCTATGGGTTCAGGGAGAGGGTGTTACTTGCAAGTTCTGATATTTTTCAATAGATTTCTTTCGACTAGTAAACCTGAAGAATAAAATGACATCTAGAGGTTGAACCAAGACTGTGGTTTCAAATAAAATATGGCGATAAGTTACAAAGGCATATATAGTATAATCAGACGTACAATAGACCTGAAAAGACAAACCGTATTGTGAATGAGGATGGAAATACCTGCTTTTCCACAAATGTTATTGCAACGGAATCTCTGCCAGAAGAGCAGCGCATGTTCTACCCATAAGAGTCTTATAATGGAAACGTCACTGAAGCTTCTTTTAACCCTAAGAAGTCTCTACACGCATTGGTGCGTGTGCCAATCACAGCGTCTGTTTTGAATTATGTAGGAACAAAGCGACCCACGATTTGTTTGATTTTGCATATAATGTGTCGATTACAAAAAGGGTATTACTTTGATATTTTTGGTTTTAAATGAACATTACAATACTTCTTACACATCATTTTCTAAATAATTAAATGGTGAAAAGAAGAGATAACCATTGGAAGTACAAAACCTGTGAAATGGCTGGTGTTTTGTGGCCTGTATTTATATTATTCATGACTTACATTTACCCAAAAATTCTTACTAAAGGCCTCTACACACATCCGAATTTTCAATCCTTAGTTTCGTGCAACAATGCGCCTCGATCGAAAAACATGGATGCCGACGGAAGCTCACACATATGGCCGAAAGTAATAAATAGTTTTTGGCTGAGTTCCATACCTCTCA